GGCCTTTTGGGTTTTAATAAATCTGCCTCCTTTCGACTTCTAATAGCTCGAATGAACTTTGGATCTCATCATTACTCTTGGCTAACCCAAAGTCAATTGAACGTGCTATGAACAAGTGAAAGCAAGTGTTACTGTTAGATGGGAAGATTTGTGAGAAGTCACCGGACTCACCTTACGCGGGTGAATTTGGTTCGACTAAGGAAGGAGAATGAGAGACAAGAAGTGACATACCACAGGATTCTGCTTTGCAGATGATTCGTCCTTTGAAACGAATGGCAAAGAGAGTTTTCTGCACCCATGTCTTATTTGCCAGACTCTTAGGCTCCTCAATTCGCCAGATGCTCCCAGCCGATGCAAATTCGTCCTCATCTGGTCCATCCTCTTCCTTCATTTGTGTCAGTGGGAAAACATGTCCTAAACCAAAAGCAATTAAAACTTTAAACTGTATGAAAGAAAGCGCTTTGTTGTCCTTCGTCTTCCCATACCGAGGTCATCCTGTCCAGGTATGACGTTTAGACCTTCCTTGTTAAGCGTTTATCAACACTTCGGCGTGTTTTTGCTAAGGAGCGTTGTCAAGACAAAACAAGAACTGTGACTGAATTTCCCCATTCCCCAATTTGAGAAGGAAAACATTTAGGTGCTATTAATGGATGTGAAGACTCACAAAAGAAAAGTATTCTTAAGACCTTTGAACTCAGCATTGTATCCAAAAGGCGTCAAATTGGAGTCGTCTTTGTACTAATTTAAAAGCCATTAAGGAAGGTTATTCAAAAAGAATCATGGTTAGCTGCAAGCAGAGCCAAAACAGCGGCACATTTAAACAGGCGAGCAAACTTAAAGCATAGCATTGTAAAATTATCTTCATTGAGTAGCTTTTCTAGTTATTAAAATATGCGCATACAAAGTGAGAGGAGCACCAAATGAGCTCTTGGAGCATTGTAGGGCAAATAAGCCCAAGAATTGGAGGTCAGAAGATCGCAGTGACCACCCAATTTGTGTGTCTCTCACTTTGTGCTACGACTTCCCTGTTGCTCCCTCCTTTTACACTTACAGACGTTTTTAACGCATTTGGTAGCCCCAGTAAGACCAAAATAGAGGTATGAAAAATGAGCCAAAGCATATTTTAGGTTTTGTAAATAACTGAGCCAACTTCCCACCTTAGATAAACAGTAAGAAGGAGAGGTGCTCATTATTTTATTATTAAGGGCGACCTATAGTGCAGCTGATAATGTAAAGTCCTCTTTTTTCACTGCTCCAGTATCCCATCCCATTGCCGTCCTCCCAGTATTTACCGCTCTCTCCGCATGGAATATACTTTGAATTAGGGTACCATAAATAGGTGGTGACTTCGACAAACCACTCTATGGGGTGGCTTGTGCTCCTTAAGGAGGGATCTTACGTGAAAGAATTCCTCTTTAGCGGATCTACTATGTGAGGGTCAATAAAATACGATTACGTCCAACCCTCACTTTCCTTGCGCCCTCCAACCTCGGTACACTTCATCAAGTTTGCAGACGCGGTTAAGGGTGCTGGAGACCAGTTGTTACCTCATAACAGATAAACCATGTACAGCTTTTGGATTCGCTTCTTTTTTTAAAAAAAACAAATGGGATATTTACGAGCATCAGACCTTAGTAATCGTTGAAAAATAGGTCAGAAAGTAGTTTCCAGTTTGAACAAACCTTTTATTGTTTCGATGAAAAAACGGATTATTCCTCCAAAAATAACTTTTCGCAACTCTATAATTCTTTAACATTTCATATCTCCATTTTCAACTTCGACAAACTTCTTCATTCACCACAGCGTAAAGGATGGCGTTGTTATCACTTCCACCTGGTTTGATGGATGCAGACGGGGTTTAGTGGGACATTCGTCGAACCAATCATTTGAAGGGTTGCGGGCCTCACTGCAAAGGTGCGAGGTGACGAAGGAAATGAGTTTTATAAGAAGTTGGGAAAAGGGCAACAGGTCTGCAACACCGTGTGAAGTGCCCCAATTGAAAACTCC